AATTATGTTGTTGACAGAACAGAGATTGAGTTTGGGTGACTTTCAGGTGTCTTTATTTTACTAAGACTTTAAAGAAACAATAGTATCCTTTATTTTGTTTTGTAATTATTTTAAAATAGTTGTTCAGTGTCATGTAAAAATATTTCCTATTTGTTTAAGATTTTATAATGCCACTTCCTTGAAGGTTTTTCTGAACAAAATGGAGATAAAAAATGGGTCTTCCTTACTGTTACTAAACAGTTGATTGATACTTGTTCTCCAGACATAAATTGTAAATGCTAATTCTTGAGCAATGTATTTTGTGACACCTTGATTTAGCTATAGTCATTTAAATAGTCTTCTTGGTCTAGCAAGGAATACTCAAATGGAAATTAGGAGGATGTTAGTCTGTTTTACATATCAATAATAAAATACCTGCTGCTGGATAATCTATATAGAAAAGAAGTTTATGTTTACCTTATAGTTTTAGAGAATTAAAGTCCAAGATGGTACAGGCCCCATCAGTTTGGTCTCTGATATGGGACTCATGGTGGATGGTGTCCCAATAACAGAACACAAGAAAAAAGATCCTATGGCAAGACACAGATGCCTGATGGATTAAGGGATCAGGCTTTAATTTTTTTTTTTTTTAACAATACACTCTGTGAGAGCTGATCTGAGATAACAGCATTAATTTCTTTCAAGGGCAATACCCCTGTGACCTCGTTAGCTTATATTAAGTGTTGAATCAGCATTGCCATACTGTGGACCAAGATTGGGGGATATCCTCAAACCATATCCAAATCATACCAAGGAGTTTGAAATGTTTTAAAGCCTTCATGTTCAGTGTGAAACAGATGTGGCAAAATGGTAGTATTTAATCAGATTCAGCTTTCAGGACTGGTAAGTTTGGTTAAATGATATGATGAAAGGGGAAAATTAGACATAAATGGAAGTATTTCACAAGCACTCCAGTAAATAAAAGCAATACTAACACCATTAAATATGAAAATAACCTGAACCTGCCTGGTGTTTTCATGACACAAGAAATATGGACTAATAACAAGAAGATGAAGTCTCTCTGGATAGGAGGAGGCTCCCATGTCTGGGGAAATTATTATTAGCGAGACATTCACAAGAAATGAATAACTTGGAAATAGTATTGTCAGAAAGACCTATGGTGATACAGAATAACAAATTAGAAATGAGGTTGAAATGTGCTATTACACAGGCATTCCATTATGATTTTTGAGCCATCTATGGAAACATCCCATTACAGGCAGAAGTTGGTTCTTCACAGGGTAGAGACAATCACAATTGGAATAATAAATAAAACTTTCATATGGGGGAATCTCATTATGAGAAAATTGTAGGCAAATTGGAAGAAGTATAGAAAAGAGTAATAATATTGGTTGGGAACTGTCAGGATTGTTTCTAAAAGAGATGATTAAAAAATTAAATTGCTTAGTAAGGGACAACTAAGAGATGAGAGTGTTTACTATTGCATTGAGATTGTTAACCCTAAAAAGAGAGACATGTCGATTATTTAGCATGGTAATAAAGTTTATAATTAGAAACAATTTAGTGATGTTAGGAAAAGGAGAAGTGAAGCAACAGTCATAAGACCCATCTGAATGCTGAGGAGTATATATGGGAGCACAGCCTATGTTTACAGTGTACAATTTGTCTTCCTTGATTCCAAGCATTTCTCTAAGCTTGTCATGGGTTCTTTTTTTAACCCTTCATTTCTTTCCTCCTTATAAGGAGTTTTTATCCCTCTCATTTAAACTATAAGTTCTGTGTTCCTTTGTGTCAATACATTTTATGGATCATCTGTGGGTTCCTGCCCACTTAAATACACTAGCTTTTAAAATTTATGTTTTAGCCTTGAGCTAGCAATCATTTTATAAGCACTGGAAGCAACCCTTCCGTTACAAATGTACTTTCCTTTAATCCACAGGGATATCATATTTTTAGGTGCTATATGATACATTTCTGTAACTTGAAGTTACAGTGTTCCAATAAAAGGTACTCAAATGGAATAGTTATTGGTAACTCATTTAAAGGGGGTAGGAAGGATAGTAGAAAGAATTGGACATTGTTACTCTATGTACATATATCATTACATGATCGGTGTGATTCTACATCATATATAACCAGAAGAATGAGAAGTTATATTTCATTTATGTAATATGTGTCAAAATGCATTCTACTCTCATGTATAACTAATTAGAACAAAAAATGTTTTTTTCACAACATTGTTATTCAATTAAATATTTCCTGACAAACTAGATTTTATTAATGTGAACTGCAAATGGGGTTGATTATATGTACAGTGAAAGTAGCAAAATTTACAAAGAGTTGCACTGAAATGTAAATCAATAACGATATTCTTTTATTGTGGGACAGGTGCCTTCTTTTAAGAATGACATCAATCCTGTAAAGTCCTGTCATTTAAGCTTTATAAGGAAGTAACTGTGAGAAGCACGGATAGAGACACACGTTGGACAAACAAATTCTTGGTCTCCAATGGAGAAACAGATATCAAAAGCACATGAAAATATGAGCCATTCCAACACCAGTGCTCAAGGAAGACAGAAATACCCTCACTAACGCTTCTGTTCATAGCTCCTGAGTCCTCTTAGGAGAAATGTTCTCTTTATCAAGAATTAAAATACTCCATGTTCTTTACAAAATCTGACATGGTTTCCAGAATGTCTGAAGGACGATGCCAAAAAATTCAAATAAAGAGCAGAAAAATGTACTTTAATTGATTTTATGCTTTGGAAAAATATTATAATTGCAGTTATGGGATTTCTTTCTCTTTCTTTTTTCTTTATACTGTTTCTTTCTATCTCTTTTTCTTCCTCTTTCCTTTGTGCTTCAATTAATATGACTAGCTATGAGATATTCTGTTTGGACCAATTGAATACTACAGCCTACATGAGTCATAAGAAACATGAAACATTGGCCATCTTTTGACAAGATGATGTGCCTGATACATGTGTGGTACTTGAGGTTTATTGCTGTTCAAATGGAGGGCTGTGGTTCACTGCAGAAAATAAGTAGAACTTCTTCTTCCTTCTGGTGTTAAATACCAGTCAGATTCACCTTTGTTTACTTTAGAGATCCTGGGTACTTCAAAGTCCTCTAGAGTCTCCATATAGAATAATACTGGAGAGACAATAAATTGTTCCTGAGTTTAGAGAGGAAAAAAACAGAACAAAACAAAACTCTAACCTGTACAGATAACATCTTATTTCTGGATTTGAATCCAGGTCAAAATAAACAAGTGGATCAAACATGTACCTTGAGAGGTTTGTTCAGTATTGCTAGGTAAGGAGAGCTCATTACTGGAAGTTGCTCAGTTCTGACTTACCATTTTTGGTTTAGAAATAAGAAAGAGGAATATATTTGAAGCCTGGAAGTATAGCCTTTGATCTAATGTCTGTCTTTGATATGACATGACATGATTGCATACATTTTGTAGAAAATATCTGAGTTTAATAGAAGCCTGCATCTAAGACCAGCATGAAAAGGAAACAAGGTATAGAGCACAAGGTATTATACTACCCTAGACTTAAATATCAAAGGGCAACAATTACCACTCTTTTGTAAAACTAAGTTAAAGTTGCTTTGTTCAGCACACAAACAATGTGCATATATGTGTACACTTGGACACATAAAGTATTTTTTGCATATATAAGTGCATTATATAAATTTTATTTTTACAATTGATAATTATAGAGACATAAACTATTAAAAATAAATAATACTTCTATAACCTATAACAGAGATAATTGGATCTTACTATTAATTTTTTTTGTTTCTTTCTAGTTTTTTATTTAAGATAGTTGTAATTATCCTGTAATTTATATATTGGTTTTTTAAGTTAAAATGACAAGAAGCATTTCAATTGACTCTATAAACTCTTTAAAGACATGTTAAATACATTTTAAGGATCCATGGAACAGAAAATTTTTCATATTTGAGGCCTTTGATATGTTTTTTATCTTTCACTAAAGAAAAAAATTCTCTCTGTCCATGCATGTTTCTTCCTTTCTCTTGTTCTTTCCCCCTCATTTTAATATTAAACTCTGCTAATACTTTGGAATATGGTTGGAGTTTTAAGACAGGTAACATCTTTCATTTCACGGAAATATATGTATCCTTTGTTTGGGGGTTTTGAGGAACCTCATGCAGGGAAGAAAACTGTGATGGAAACAACATCATTCCAAGAGGAAAAACCTCAAAATCAGGTTTTATAGATTGTGTGTATTTGTATGTGTGTTCCTGTATGTATGTGTGTTTGCATATTTGTGCATACAGGTTTACATGTGTGTATTTTTGGGGTTCATCATGTGCAAGTGTATATGTATATACACTTCTTTGCACACATATGGTAAATTGGAGGTATTTACAAAAAATAGAATTTTACTCTATTAACATTCAGAGAAGTTTCTAATAATTGTCAATGAAGTCAACTTTTCCATATTTTTGATTTTCAGAGTTCATATTTTTAATGGATAAAGGCTGAGTGTATTTTTTTACAATGAACCTATATATAAAATACATTTTAGTTATTGAAAGTAAATCTTAAAAGTTTGTATTAATCTTTAAATAAAAAAAGTCAAAATCACTTTCTTTACCCATGAAATGTAATTTCATTTTCATATTTTATAAAATAAAAAATATCCCTATCTAAATGCTCCCAAGAACACTGACTTGCACTATAAATGCAAGTGTTATTTAGGGGAAAACAGGCAATATATTCATACCTTGACATACAAGAAGCTTTAAAGTATGATGAGTATATTTAAGCCACATGAAAATGTTAGCTTTGACGTGAGCATTGCATTTATGAGCCTAAAACTAGAGAATAACTATTTTAGAGCTGATGATTTTAATAGAATTCAAAAAAACTTGAAAACCAGTTTGTGGAAACCATTGTTCTGTTGGGGTGGTTAGTTCTGTTTTCCTTTTCTTCCTGCTTTGAAGACATCTGTATCCTCGGATGTCAATTATTGTAACTCCAACAAAGTAATAAAAATCAAAGCAAGGATCCATTCATCTAAATCCTCACACGTAAGTGATCCTTCATTTGGACGAGATTTTTGTGAAGTAATTGGAGTTGTTGTAAAAGTAGCAGATTCTGCATTGGAAGGCTGTTTTGTATTGGTAGGAGATGCTTCTGTAGAACACGTTGGAATTGGGGGTTCCCAAGCACTATTTCTACCACAGACAACCAAGTCACTTCCATGAAGGTAAAAACCCTTCAAACATTCAAACGTAACCATTGCATTGTAGTAATATTTACTTCCAAATCCTGATATTTGTCTTCCATTTTCAATTACTGGGTATGGACATTTGACCACTTTACACTGAGGAGGGTCACTACTCCATTGTCCATGGCCAGAACAATGAATCTGGCTCTGTCCAATGAGTGAAAATTTATCTGATCCAGGATTGGGATTACATGTATAAGTTGCTACTTCATAATATTCAAATACTTCCTTTTCTTCTGGGGTGTACTTTCCATTTTCTATTTGTGGAGGTGGTTCACACAAAATCTTTTCGCATTGTGGGAGATCCCCGCTCCAAACCACATTCAATCCTTTAAGCTTGCAACGTAGAATTTGCTTACCAATTAAATAAAACCCCTCATTACAAACAAATTCAACATATGTACCAAACTCCAAGCTTCCATTAAGTACGTTTACTTGGCCATTAACAGGATCTGGTAGAACTGGACATGTTTTCTTAGAACAAGCAGCATTTGAAAGAGAGGACCATGTGCTGTCTGCACCACAAGTAGAAGAAGTGTCGAAAGAAGGGTTCCGCTTGTATCCAGGTTTACATTCATAATGTACTTGCTCGCTGACCTCATAAAGGGGTTTAGATTGGCCAGTGAGCTGCATTGTTTCAAATGTTGGTGGCTCACCACAGGCTTCAGAGGATGTAGCAGACAGCAAGAACACCAGGGCCCCCAGAAGGAAGCACTGGAATGGAAAGAGGCTCCCGCGGTGTTGGGTGGGTCCAGCGCACATCATGGATCTCCTTATTTTTCCTTAGATGAGGAAGAAACCGAGAACCAGCTGAGCAGGTTTTCAGAGTCCCTCCAGAGTCTAGTGACCAAATGCAACAATCCCAAACTCAGGAAGTGTCAAAAGTTATATGTGAGTGGGTGTGGTCCGGACACACCCAGGAAAGTCACAAAAAGTGTTTTAGAGGTGCTCTCCTGGTCAGAATGTCAGTATTGGAATTGAGATCTCAATGTTAAGGTAATCTCACTGATAGGTTCAGGGAGGTTTGTGTCACTTAACTAAAACCACAGGACTCAATCTTTGTTCATAAGGTTTTCCTGGACCAGTATTTCTAACTGATAAAGAAAGATTCTCAGATATTGGTTTACTAGGTTTTTCAATGTAGGTTTGCCCCAGAAGAAACTCCAAGGCAACTCTGTGTTTGAAAGTAGTTCATTTTGAAGATTTCAGAATGCCCACGTGAGAAACTGGAGAAACAACATGGGTAAAGAAGAAAAGGCAATAATAAAAGATGTTTTAATATGGGAGTTACCCCTGTAGGCAAAAGGAAGCTGAATCTCACAATGGGCTCTGTAAGAAACTATGTGCAACATACTCAGAATTAGCCTACAGAGATTAGTACCCAAGGCATGGATGTACTCATTAGTATCTCCTCTACTTGAGGGAAATTCCATTATCTCTCAAAGACTTTCTTATATATATAGTGGGTTTATTAATTCCACCATGCCTCCAAGAAATGCCACTGAACAGGACAATAAGAAGAGAGATGGGACACTTTAGGTGTAAATTTGTCAGTGACTGAAGATTGTTTATTTCTACTACTAGAGATCTCAAGTAGGGTTAGGGATAAGATATGGGGCATCAGCAGCATCTACTACACTGGATTTATCAAGTCTCCATTTCAGTATATTTTTCTTGTGAATATGTGCTATGTATTTGTGATTGTTTCTCTGCTTTTTTTCCTTTCTAGAGGTCATAAGGTATGTAGGTACCAAAGATAAGCTATACTTCCAAAGCATTTACCAATCTCTAT